TATTATGTTAAATGTGTATATTACTGACAATATTTCAGTACCATGTCTATTTATAGTGAGATATTGCATGTACCGTTTACAATAGGGTTTTCAAAGGCATTGCCTATTACTCTTAAAATATACTGACCTATATACTGACCTAGTTGTCGATGGGCTCATGAAGCAGACTGAATGAGCGCGCTCTGCTTTAAAGATCTGCTCTTGTGGGCACTATTTTGAAGGCGAAATCTTCACAGTTCGGAAAACTAATTACATTCGTTCTGGAGTAGGTATTTTTCCTTGCATTCGCGTCACCAGCAGAAGTAATGGGCTCGTTGAGACTTCGTCAAAAAAAACAGAAGGACTTCACCAAGAACTCACCGCTGTCTATTTTGAAAGCGCCGAGGCAAACTGATTTCTAGGTATTATGAAGGCTTCCATAATCCGTAAGTGGTAGCTCCTTTTTCTGAAAGGAAAAGACCTTTTTTACTAATCTGTTCATGACTACAAAGGTGCAAGGACTTTTGTGTGCATGGGGCCACCAGCGTCTGATTGAAATATCGTCTGGCAAGACACAAACTTCTCTTATGCTATCTACTATATTTCCCACCGAATCTGCTGACGGATAGGATAGAGAGTTGACTTGCTCGCCAGAGTACCCCGATTAGAGTCCCGCGTGGCCGATTTTTCTATGATGACGCCTACCCACTGGCGTTAACATTAAAGTTGTTGATAGCGGATAGGCTAGTTCCACAGTGGCAATGAGTTTTGCAAAGGCCAATGACTATTGCCCTGAACTGTGTGTAAGACACAGATATAGAAGGCCCTTCCTCCCCCCTCCAGGAAATAAAGGTGACCTTACTCAAAATTACAGGAAGGGTAAATATTACAGCGCCCTAGCCAAGGCCTTAACCCTGAATCTGCCCTTAGTGCTAACCCTTATCTCCTTGGAAATTAGTGTAAGACCCCCCAGAATAGAGGAGTTTCTATTGTCCTGTCTTGCCGAACTTTGTGAGTAGGACGAAAGTAGCTGTCGAGGAGTACCACCAACGAAGATAGAGGTGGCTGACATGGTCACTTGCCGTTTTTTTACTGTCGTCAGTCAGCAACGTCCAAACCCAACCCGGACTGCACGTGAAATTGTTAGGTCAGTGTTTTGTGAATTTCAGGGCGTCCTAATGTCTAGTGAGACTAACATTACGCAAAACAAACGCTTATTAATTGTGTTTTGTCGAAAGAAGACTCCATATCCAAGATAGCAGTCTGCGACGGGACGAGGACTGCCCTATTGGATCCGACTGTTAGTCAGGACCTGCCACCTGGCTTCTCAAGTATCACCTAGGTCCTGGAACGCCTGTTCGTAGCGCACAATGGTGTCAGGTCAAAAAATCCAGAGAAACAGATAGCATCAGACCTCGTTACGTGGACATGTTGCGTAGCATCTAGGCAGTCAGCGT